TCTGTCTGTCTGTCTGTCTGTCCTCAGGTTGTGAAGCTTTCTGAAATCGTCTCGCTGGCTAAGGAAGCTCAAGTGGACATCACCTTCCAGCTGCCCATCTAACCAACCTCCTCTTCCTCGTCCTCGTCCTCCTCACTCCAAACACTTCCTCTGTCTCCCCCACAGCAGCCCTCCACTCCTCCCCCCTCCCCCGCTGTGTGGCATGATGGCGTCACCGTACAGGCGTCCTGTCTCAACCCCTCATCTCCCTAACTTATGTTGCACTTGAAGCGATACGCACAAACCTCCCCCTCCCTCACTCCCTCCCACAGTCTTTACTTCCTTCGCCTGTTTAACAAAATAAAAGCAGAGCAGTTATTTTCCTGTCGACGGAGGTTTCCACTCAGGATTCTGTGTTTGAAGTGAATGATTGTGAGACGGCGGCGGTTACGGTGAATGATTGTTGGATGGCGGCGGTTACGGTGAATGATTGTTGGACGGCGGCGGTTACGGTGAATGATTGTTGGATGGCGGCGGTTACGGTGAATGATTGTTGGACGGCGGCGATTACGGTGAATGATTGTTGGATGGCGGCGGTTACGGTGAATGATTGTTGGACGGCGGCGGTTACGGTGAATGATTGTTGGACGGCGGCGGTTACGGTGAATGATTGTGACGCTCCCCGCTCTGCCGTTATGTCTCTGCACTGGACTGTCAGAATAAACACACCTGTTCTCTCACACACAGAACAAACTGTCACACCTTCATAAGCCCCGCCCACTTTCACTCTGTGCTCCAATCACAGTCGACTTCCTCCTCTCCTGTACTTAGATATGCTACATGCTAAGCTAATCTATGTTGGAAAGACAACCACAGTTTGAAGATGGTTGAAAGCTCAGAGAGACAAACATACAGTCACATTGTGCTCGCTATGTAAAGCTTCAGTCACTGAACGCTGCCGTTAACTCTCAAACTGATACTGAATACTTATTTAAACAAACACTGTCTCTGATAGCGCCGTTAGCATCTTCCACATGTTTCGTGACCACCGCAGTTTCTCCTTCGCCCTTGGAAGGCGAGCGTGAAGCGACGAGGTTGTGACACCTTTACGATATGGCGAACTGTCCGACACGCCGTCCAAACGGCGGTGGACTCGGCGTATTGATCTGTCGATGATCGGTCCGCTGAACGAGTGTAATGAATTATTCAAACCCCCCCGAGGGAGGAACGACAGAGTCAGCCAGTCCAGTCCAAACCGGAGTGAACGGACGCTCTCGGCCCCTGATGGGTGCTCGCAGAGCGCTGTGGCGTGAGCACGTGAGCAGCTTCCTGTCTGAGGACGGTCCGTTGACGCCCTCAAACGAAGCGCGTTGGCAGCTAACGGGGGCGGGCCGCGTGTGTGTGGGCGACTGTGAGTTAAGATGGCGGCGGCTGTAGCAGGTTTAAAGGAGCTCGGAGGAGACGCTGTGTATTATTCTGCTGTGTCACTGGGAGGACTGGCTGCTTCAGGGTTAACTGGGACGGACGCCGCAGTGCGTTCACTCTCCCATCATGCAACACAGCGGGAAAAAGCCTCCTATTTCTGTTTGTAACGTCAGACTCTGGGCGACCGCGGCCTCAGAAGAACCGTATGACTGTAGTTGTTTCTCTTTCCTCCTGTTCTTCCTCCTCCTCCTCCTCCTCCCGTTCCTCCTCCTCCTCCCGTTCCTCCTCCTCCTCCTCCTCCTCCTGTTCTTCCTCCTCCTCCTCCTCCTCCTCCTCCTCCTCCTCCTCCTCCTCCTCCTCCTGCAGCGCTCCGAACACAAGCCCACATTGTGAGTTGTACGTCATTTATTATATCTTGTAAATAACCAAACTGCTGTTCTCGCTCTGTAAGATATTTAAGCTCTTCGTCAGGAGTACCACAAAGGAAGAAAAAGAGAATAAAAGCCGAGAACGCCAAAGTTTGTTTGTTCTTTTTGTCTCCATGACGACATTTTCTACCACTTACTCTGGACCTGAGGCGAAGTTGGAACTCACACAATCAGAAATACTTTATTGATCTCAGGAAATCAGGTAACAAAGAGAAATAACAAGAACATTTTGAATAATAATAATAATAACAATGTATGAAAGGTGGTTGTAATGTTTACAGTCAGTTTCAGATCGAGCAGCTGAACAGATGAAGGGAATAATCCGGCGACACAAACGGTTTCTTTAACTGCTGGATGTGTTTCTTGTCTTTATGCTAAGCTAAGCTAACCAGTGATTGTGATGTGAGGGACGGTCAGAGAGATATCAGTCTCACTCTCCATCAGACAGTGAAGGAACATCTTTTTCCAAACGTTCAAACTTTAGATGGATGTATAATATCAGTATTTTATGTGGATTTGTATGAATTGCCGTTGTTAACCAGTCCCCGCCTGCGTTTGGACCTGCAGCTCGCTCTGATTGCAGGTTCTGTGTAACGCAGCCTGAGGCCGGCGCTAATGGCCGTTGATTACTGGAGTGGGCGGTTTGGGGTTGGTGTGGCGCAGCAGACAACAGACGGCAGGTTGAACAACTCTTGACTCCGTGTTTGTGCTAACAGACACACAATGAGGCCAAATATTAAAAACCTACTGACCGCAGGTTCACTAACGTCAGATTGTTTACTGGCCAGAGGAAAAGAAAAGTGTTATTTTAACCTTTTAAAGTCACATCCCCAGTCTTACTGTTCCTCTATTGAACAATGAATGACAATTAACAGTTTATTTGTATTTTTATATCTACAAACAACTTTATCAGTGATTCTGGTGAAACTGGATCAGATTTTATGGAGAGAATATTGTCTGAGTGACATCCTCCAGCTGCTCTTGTTGCTAAAGCTAAAGCTAATAATAACAACAACAATAACAACAATAATAACAACAATAATAAAAAACTATAATAAAAACAATAATAAAAACAATAATAATAATAACAATAATAATAACATCAATAATAAAAACAATAACAACAATAATAATAAAAACAATAATAATAACAATAATAATATAACCAATAATAATAATAACAACAATAACTAACAATAACAACAACAATAATAACAATAACAACAACAATAATAACAATAACAACAACAATAATAACAATAACAACAACAATAATAACAATAACAACAACAATAATAACAACAAACAATAATAAAAATAACAATAATAACAACAATAATAAACAATAACAACAACAATAATAACAACAAACAATAATAAAATTAACAATAATAATAAAAACAATGATACAATAATAACAACAATAATAAACAATAACAACAACAATAATAACAACAAACAATAATACAAATAACAATAATAATAAAAACAATAATAACAATAATAATAACAATAATAATAATGATAATGTATGGAAGGTGATTGTTGTTGCTAGCACACAGTTAGCAACCAGCAGGTGAAGGACAGATCTGTCCTCAGGAGTCTCTGGAGACCACAGACAGACACTGAACTCAGTCTCCCGCTGTGAGAGCAGAGGAAGCCGTCAGCAGAGACTTTGTAGCTGCAGACGTTGGGCGGTTGCGTCCCAGCTGGACCTCCTGCTGGGTCAGACTGGCTCTCCACTCTGAAGGACTCCTTCTGGTCCAGGGATGAAACAGCAGAAAGACGTCCTGATAATGAACCTTTCAAAGTGTTTGGAAAGCTGGAAGGTTAGAACTATTATAATAATAATGATAATTATATATATATATTAATAATATTAATAAATAAACATTGAGCTGAGGATGAAGAGTACAGGTGCAGCAGACATGAAGACCCTCAGGTACTGTAGGACCACTGGGGGGTCAGGATGCTGGACTTCAGCAGGTCGCTGGTCTTTGTACATTTACTGAAGAACACTGAACACTTTCTTCCTCTGCTGAAGCTTCAAGTGTCAACAGGCATCACGTCGGGTTCACATCCTAATCCACCGCCACCGCCACCGCCACCGCCGCCATCGGCTGGTTGGAGCTCGCAGTGATACAGCTGTCTACATTTATATTATATATACTATATTATACACATATATACAGATTATATTACATATTATATATACTATAATCTGCATATTACACATACTATATTATATATTATATATAATATACAATATAGATAATATATATTATACATACTATATATATTATATAGTATGTATAATAATATTATATACAGTATATTCAGTTTATAAAATGAATTTCTTTGGAATATCTAAAGAGAAGTTTGTTATAATGAAGCTTCATTAAAGATCAGCAGTGTTACTGTTCATTAACCTTCAGTCACTATCTGTATATTATCTATAGTTCATATTGATCAGTATCAATAACAGCTGATCAATGAACCAAACAGTGACTGTAAGGTCTGATCTTAACTCCACTTTGTCCTGTTTTGGATTTTATTATTTATTCACAATAATAACAAACAAACACGTTAATAAAAGAAGGTACGAGGTTACAGGAAGTAGTTTGTGTTCAGATTCTATAAAGTCCAACATTACTGAGATAATCTACATTATTCAATCAGTACTGATCTTCATCTTCATCTCTAAAGTCTCATACGAAGGTTCATTCAAAGTGCTCCTCCTCCTCCTCTCCCTCCTCTCCCTCCTCTCCCTCCTCCTCTCCCTCCTCCTCCTCCTCCCTGTGCAGACTGATGGGGGTCTGTACAGTGAACTGGCTGCTTGCTCTCAGTCTGATAAGGTTTCAGAGACTGGCTGCCAGTTCATTTACTGACGTTGTGATAAAGTCCGCCTCAGTGTGTGTGTGTGTGTGTACAGTGTGTACAGTGTGTGTGTGTGTGTGTACAGTGTGTACAGTGTGTGTGTGTGTGTGTGTGTGTGAGAGAGAGTGTGTGTGTGTGTGTGTGTGTGTGTGAGGGAGTGTGTGTGTGTGTGTGTGTGAGGGAGTGTGTGTGTGTGTGTGTGTGTGTGTGTGAGAGAGAGAGTGTGTGTGTGTGTGAGAGAGAGTGTGTGTGTGTGTGAGAGAGTGTGTGTGTGTGTGTGTGTGTGAGGGA